GTATCAAAGATATTAGCAACTTTTACTCTTTACTCCACTACATTATTGAACGAGCATCTGTACTCTTTACTCCACTACATGTGAAATGAGTGTTGCAGTTACACATTACAGTTTGCATGGACCTAGCTTTTTCTGCGGCAGTTTATTTCTGCAACAAAAGACGTGATACTGCCTGCTACAGGTCACTGCAAGTACTGCGTTTTGCCCTTACTCACCCAAACTTGTCAACAAGGCTACTTTATGTGAATGCGAGTTCCTTAGCAAGTATTTGTGAATCAGAGGAGTTTTATACATGAGATGAGGACGTGACTGCAGCCGGCAATGAGGCCCAAACCAACACATCCACTGCAAGAAGGCTTCGGCTTTTTAATTTGACTTAACATTATTTTATTTATCCATTATGCTGAAGAGACCTTTTTTTGTTTGTTTTGTTTTGTAATTTTGAGGTGTTCAATTTTATTTTGGTTTTAGAAAATAAATGTGTTTGCTTTCCTCTTAAATCTACTCTTTCTGGTTTTTGTTTCATTCTCTCTGTGTCTTGCGTTGTCTGTTTGTCAGTCACTCTGTTCCCTTTGGTTTTTAGTTTATTGTTTGTTCTAGTTTTTCCAAGAAACACCAGCACATAGATCCTTGCCTCTGCCTGCTTTCCGCAGCTTCTCCACAACGTTACAGTTTATCACTGGCGTGTCTCTTTGACTAGTACTTCTTTGATCCTATATTTAGTATAAGTAAAATACTTAAGTACTGATAAAATCAGATACTCTAAGACTTTTACTCGAGTTGTTTTGGAATTGGTGGCTTGTAACGTGTAGTGGAGTAATTTTCACTGTAAGGTATCTGTACTTTTACTCAAGTATGGTTTTTAGGTACTCTTTACACCTCTGCTATTAGTGCTATTGGATCTTAGCGCTGCGTTCGACACTATTGACCACAACATTCTTTTGAATAGACTAGAAAACTATGTTGGCATTAGTGGAAGTGCATTAGCATGGTTCAAATCGTACTTATCTGACTGCCATCAATTCGTAGCAGTGAATGAAGAGGTATCATATCGATCACAAGTGCAGTATGGAGTACCTCAAGGCTCAGTACTAGGGCCGTTAAATTAAATAGGGCCTGAAAAAACAGAGGTGTTAATTATAGGACCTAAAAACTCTGCA